TAGCGCACCCAAACCCGAGTTCATCGGCGACATCGCCATCACTGCGCTCACCCTTGGCGGTTCGCTTCCCTCTGATTTACTCCTCTTATTTATTTATTGTTTTATTCGTTCTTCTTTTATTTTGTATTTTTTATTTTTATGGCTTCCTCTTTTGGCTGTGTTTGTGAGCGACATGGCTCACCTCTCGGTTGCCGCCGACTGCAGACAAGGCGCCCGAGGTGCGGCTCATAGACGTATCAGACCCGCCCGCACACTTCTCCTCTCTGCCCAGTAGGTCTCCTCCGTTGCCCCTCTTTTCTCTTCTTGCCCTGCTCGGCTCGGCTGACCGCTTCCCCTCTCGTGAGCGCAGCAGTGAACGACGCCCCTTCTTCGTTGGACAGCCCGGCCACCACAGCGCGGTACGCCGCTGTGGCACCTGCTTGATTGCTTACACTTCCTCATGAGCCTCTTACCCTCATTCCATCCGCAATCGTAAGGTCCGTGCCAGCACCACCAGCTGTCGGCAGTTCGACGGGAGCGACCGGCACATCGTCATCATCGTCATCGTCATCGTCGTCATCCTCTTCATCATCAACGACGACCGAGGAACCTGAGGTGAAGGCCACCGACATGGACATGATGATCAAGGTGTTTCTGGAGTACTCTGGCACTGCCAAGTTGACCATGCGGGTACCCGTGCAGCCCTGTGCCCACAAGTCACGTGGGCCTGGCTGATTCGTTTGCACTGACGGCCCATCTTCCCCCCACTCCAGTGTCTGATCTCTTTGGTGAACTGGCCTCGACCTCGCACCGTGTGTCTTCCGGTCACCTTCACACTTTCCGACTTTCACTTCGAAGGTGCGCCCCGCCCATACCTACCACCACCACGCGCCTTTGCCAGGCGCTCATCATCAACGTCGGCGCGGGTTGTGCGCAGGTGTGGTGTGCGCAATCCACCACGCGAACAAGGTGCATTTCTGCTTTGACAAGCGGGAGGGCGACGATGTGGGTCCGCTGAAGAGCCTCAAGATCGAGGCCCAGATCGGCGACAGCACGCAGCAGGTGCTCAAGAACCTGGAGAAGGTGGAGAACTTCATCGTCGGCATGCTCAAGAAGCTCATCAAGGATCGCCTCATATTTCCCAACTTCATCACAGTTCTCGATCAGACCAACAAAGCCCACTGAAACCCTCTCCCTCTCGAGAACCTTCATGAGGTGTCAAGTGAAGGAGGAGAAGCACACGAGCGGCCGAAGGTGGAGTGGTGGCGGTATGAAATGGTGTCGACGTTGGTTTGGCGACGCGACGAAGACAACTGAAAATTTCGGTCTACGGTCGTTCATTGGTAGCTTGCGTGAAGTGCGGGGTACCGCTGCATTTTCGAATCATTCATTCAGGAAACTGAGACGATCGACGCAGCAGGGAACACGCACATCACAGATCTGACGCGTTCCTGGCCTCTTGCTGGTCGAGGAAATACAAGGTCGAGCGTGATCTCGAACTCGACGTGAATTATCGATAGAGAAGAGATAGGAAAAGTGAGGGTGAGTGCACACACGAGATGGACTCAGCACTACAAAAGCAGATTGCAAAAGGAGCAAGACTCAAGAAGACTGTCACAAATGATCGCTCGTCGCCAGTCCTGACCGCGCCTAAAGGTTCGCTTTTTTTGTCAATTCATTCATTATCCTCCCCCTCCTAATCTAACATTAATTATTGACTGATTTATATTTTGATATTGAAGGTGGCCCAGGAGGCGGCGGTGGTGGCGGCCCCCCTGTGGGTGGAGGCATGCCTATGCCGCGGCCAGGCGGTCCCACCCCTGGCGGTCGGCCTGGCGGCCCAGTGCCACCCGGGCACCCTGGAGCCCGTCCAGGTCCTCCCGCCCCTGGTGGAGGATTCCCCCCTCGCCCAGGTGGCCCCTCGCCTGGTGGCCCTCCTCCCCGACCTGGTACGTGCCCCAGCATTCCTCATCAACCGTTGGCTAGCACCTGCATTCAAAACAAACATATACATTATTTTTTATTTTATTGTCCTATTTTCGCTTCTTATTCCATCTCAATCATTCATGCACGCATTTCCCACGCTTTCCATCAATTGCGCCGCCTTGATCTCATCTGCTCTTTCTCTACCGGTTGTGCAGGCATGCCGCCCCCTGGTGGTGGTGGTGGACCGCCTCCGCCCCGGCCAGGTGGTGGCCCGCCCATGCCGGCTGCCAATGGCGGCGGCGGAGGCCCTCCTCCCCCGCGCCCTGGTGGTGGCCCGCCCCCGCCTCGCCCTGGTGGTGGTCCTCCCCCGCCGCGTCCTGGTGGTGGCCCGCCCCCGCCTCGCCCCGGTGGCGGCCCTCCCACGCCGCCCGTGACCGGTGGCGGCGGTCCTCCTAGCGGCGGCCCGCCCCCGCGCCCCGGTCTTCCTCCCCCGACGCCTGGCGGAGGACCTCCCACGCCCACCGGACCATCCACCCCTCAGTACCATCAGCCTGTCAGTACGTCAACACCCCTCTCCTCCTCCTCCTTACACCCGTGTGATCAGTGCTTGCCATCCTACGCGATTGCTGACCACCGACGCTGTGCAGGTGCCATGGAGACCGAGGGACGGTTCTCGTTCCACCCGATCTCCGATCTCCCGCCGCCTCCCGAATTCAGAAACGTGCCCAAGGTCTACCGCTCCCAGCAGGTCGCCGAAGCCGCCCCGCCCTCCTTTGCCGGCGGCGGTCGCGCTCCTCCTCCCACGCCCGGCGGCCCTCCCCCCAGGTACTCCCCCCTACTCGCCCAAACCCACTGGCCCAGCCACCCAGCCGTGTGTCGATAAGGCGCGCCTAACTCCCCGCCGGTGGGGTTCTTTCTCGACAGACCCGACGCAGGTCCGCCCACACCAACACGCCACGAGGCGCCGCCTCCGCCCACGCGCGATGCCGTTGCGCCACCGGCTCCCGGCAGACCCGAGGGCGGCCCGCCGCC